GTAGTAATAGTAGTAGTAGTAATAGTAGTAGTAGTAGTAGCAGTAGTAGTAGTAGTAGTAGTAGTAGTAGTAGTAGTAGTAGTAGTAGTAGTAGTAGTAGTAGTAGTAGTAGTAGTAGTAGTAGTAGTAGTAGTAGTAGTAGTAGTAGTAGTAGTAATAGTAGTAGTAGTAGTAGTAGTAGTAGTAGTAGTAGTAGTAGTAGTAGTAGTAGTAGTAGTAGTAGTAGTAGTAGTAGTAGTAGTAGTAGTAGTAGTAGTAGTAGTAATAGTAGTAGTAGTAGTAGTAGTCGTGGTAGTAGTAGTAGTGGTAGTAGTAGTAGTAGTAATAATAATAATAGTCGTCGTAGTAATAATAGTCGTAGTAGTACTTGCCAGGTACTGAAGTTCTTGACCGTCGTTGGAGAATTGCCTCGCTGGTGCCGCGTGCCGCCGACGACAGAGGAGGAAACAGACGTGCGCCGATGCGGGATCCCAACTTCCTTGAGCTCTGTGAGATCGGATGACCAACCAGTGAAGCAGGAGCAACCGCGTTGGATAAGGATGCCGAGCGCCACGCTGCATCAAAGCGACATCCGCCGAAAGCGCGTGATGACCCCTCCAGGGGCCCGAAGGCCCCAGGAGGGGTCATCGCGCGCCCGTAGCGGAAGTCTGCTGGGAAAAAGAGCGCAAACTTAAACATTCAAACCGATTCGAAAACGCGCGGGTGCGCTGTCTTTGGGGCGACGACGCAAATCCTAAGAGAAACTTGACTCTGTCTGTGCGGAGTGATTCCGGTGCGAGTGGGCCCAAGTCGGAATGATTCCTGGCCTATGTGTAGTGGGACGGAGCGATTAACACACCGTTTTAAATCTATAGTAATTCTTACGGGGTACGAGCCCATCGGCTTCGGACCGCTGCCCGACCGAATACCTGTCGCTAAGATTCCACGGGGGGATGGGGGGGGGGGTCGGAAGGCTGGCGTCTCATGGTCAAAACTGTAGTACCCCCCGCGCGGACTTTTCTCATCCGCGAGGCAAGCGGCCGACGCGGTGGGAAAGCCTGAGCCAGCTGAAGCCACGACGCAATGCTGCCGCCCAGCACCACCTCGGCCGCGCCGACGCACAGTCACGCGGCACCGAGCCCTTCCCCGCTCAGAAACTCGTGGCCGCGCCCTTCTTGCGGACCACTTCCTGGCAGACGCGCCTCATCAGCTTCGCCTGCGCCGCCCCCACGGCCTGCGCCTTCTTGCTCTTCGCGACGCACCGAACCCGGGCCTTGTGCGCCGTCTTGCCCAGAACGGGCCGCTTCTTCGTGGCGTCGTCCAAGTCCATGAGCCGCAACTTCCGACGCAGCAAAGACAAACACCGCTCTGCGGGGTTCAAGTCAGGGGACTTGGCGGCCATCTTCCACAGCGTCACCCCCGCCTTCTTCACCGCGGCGTTGCTGACCTTCGCCCGCAAGAAAGACTCGCTATCGCAGAGAACAGACCACGGGCCCTTCTTCCTCTTCGGGTTCACTGCCTTCACGGCCCTCACAAGGTCACCCCGGCTCACGATCATCGCCCAGTCCTCGCCGCACAGCTTCTTGAAGGGGTGGATAGCGACGATGGAGAGCCCGCCCGCAGCGCAGCCAGCCCACATCGGCACCGCCCGAGCAAGCGGGACCTGGTTGCCGTACTCGTCGTCGCCAGAGAGCTTCGGGCTGAATGCCTCTGTGTTCTTCCGCCACATGAACTCTTCGCCGCGCCTGCAAAAGTTCGTCCGCTCGGTCTCGTCCTTCGGGGGCATCGCGAGGACGACGCCACCCATTGCGTATGCCATGGCTGCGTTCAGCTCCGCCGAAGTCACCCTGAGGGTCTTCTTCGCAAGCGCCAGGCGAGCGTCCTTCTGCTCCTTCGAGTACAATCGCTGCTGCCTCTTCGGCAGCCAGCGGTAGCCCTCCTTCTCGAAGACCTTGCGCGCGTAGCGCACCGTGACCTTCACGTTCATCTCGGGCGCCAGCAGCAATTGCAAAACGGTCGACGTGCAAGCGGCACGGCAACGCAACGCCTTCAACTTTTTCACCAAGAACCGCTCCACCTCCTTTGTCACCTTGTCCGGCTTCTTCCCGCACTTCTTGTAGTCGTACTTCAAGGGTCCGCGACGCGCCGTGGCCCGGCGGCGCGCGTTGGCCACGCGTCGCGGTCGGGGCCTGTGGCCCAGGAGGTTTCTCACTTTCTTCGCAATCTCCGACCACTCCATCTGGCTGCCGTCGCCTTGGGTGGCGTCGCGGAGGAGCGCGATCCTGCGCTCCTGCTGGAAGCTGAAACCCTTCGGGTGCCGCATCTCGCTGGCGACTGGCATCTGGGGCGCGTGTTCCGCGAGCGCAGCGGCCCGCGGGAGGAAAGCTTGAGCCTGGGCAGCTGCGCCCATGGCAATGGAGATGTCGAAGACAGCGAGGCGGCGGCAAGTCGCCGCGCGGTGACGGCGACGGCGCCGCGGCATAGCACGGCGCGGCGCGGCGCGGCACTGCGCGGCACGGCACGGCGCGATCACATCCCACGGCAAGGAACGGCGCGGCACGGCACGGAAATCCATGGCACGGTGCGGCGCAGCAGGGCATTGCACGGCACGGAACGGCACGGCACGGCATGGCGGCGCGGCACAGCACGGCGCGGCGGCGCGCGGCGCGGCGCGGCGCAGCACGGCGGGCGCGGCACAGCGCAGCACGAAACGGCACGGCGCGGCACGACACGAGGCGGCACGGCACGGCACGACACGAAACGGCACGGCACGACGCGACACGAAGCGGCGCGGCACGGCATGACACGAAACGGCACGGCACGACACGGCACTGTCAACGTCCTCGCACGACGAACTGGGCGTCGCTCGCACTCTGCAGCGGCGTCAGCCCCCATCGAAGTGTCATTTTCTTATGTGAAAAACAATTGTTTTTGTCATGGGGTTGCGCCTGCGGACGGGCAAAGTTCCTCCTAGAACCCGCACGCTCCCCAACGCATGTGCCCAGCAATCTAGGGATCGACCTGGCGTGCAAGCCTTGTTCTCTCGTGCAACCCCAGAGAGTCACGGCGCGGCTGGCGGATGGCGCGGCGGGGGCGCCTTGGTGCGGTACCTCGCGAGAGGTGCGGCCGGCGGCTGGCCCGGCTGCGTGGCAGGCGGGAAGTGCACCAGCGAGCGTTTCCCAGGGTTCGCCAGGAAGTCGTCGGTGTCCAGGAAGCCCAAGCAAGTTCTTCGCGGTGCAGTTGCAAGTGGCGACGACGGGAACTGCGAACAGGTCCGTCCAGTAGGCCAAGTCGCCGCCCGGAGCGGAGGCAAACTCCACTAGTGAGTTGTACTTGCCCTGGAGCTTGTCCTGGTGATCCACCAAAAACTGAGAGTCCCTCAAGTCGTCGAGGACCAGCCCGTCGTGCTTCTCCTTGTCGAAGGCCCTCATCGACTCTGGAAAGTGCTCGAGCTTGCCCACCTTCACCACCAGCGGATTCTGGAACAAACTCTGGGCCCATTCCGTCTTCCCTGACCTGCCGAGGACAACCAGCACCGGGTGCCGCGCCGCGCCCACCCGCGTGAGCGCCGGCGGCAATGGCGGACACCGCCCCTACCCCCGCCCCTTCCACAGGCGCGCTGAAGACGCCCCAGCAGGCGCCGCAGCCCGCCCGCAGAAGGGAGGGCGGCAATGGCGCTGCCTGGCTTGCGCGCCGCCGCGGACCTTGAACTGCTCCAGCCAAGCCGCGGCGTCGGGCACCGTGGGGAAGCCAGGGAACAAGTCCTTGTTCCCGCGGATTCTCTTCGTCCTGGCCTCGATCTCCGCTGTCTGCTTCTCCCGTGTCTCTCGCTCTCTGCAAGCGTCCAGGTTCCGCTTCTTCGCCAGGGCCCCGTCCCGCGTCTTGTAGAGGTAGCCCTCGTAGGTCTCGTGCGAAAGTTTCTGCGCCTGCCGCAAGTCCTGCGCCCGCCGGCTTTTCACTGTGTAAGTGAAAGATGCGTCTGTCCAGGCGGGCCCGGAGCTGCCGTCCGCGCACTGCCGGCCAGCCTCGCCCCGCACGGTGCCCTTTTTTATCTGCCCAGCAGTAAAACATGCCCCTGTTGAGGCTCTCCTGCAATCGCCCCCGAGCAGGTCGTTCGCGTCTGCTCCCGGGCCCGTCCACCCCTCGAAGGCGAAGCGGCGGCTCGTCCTGTCCACGGGTTGCGTGAACTGGAGCGTGAGATGCACGTGCAGACGCCCGGTCTTCGTTCGCTCGAGCGTCGCGCACCAGTAGCGCACCTTCCAAGCCGTCTGGTTCGAACGCACGCGCGCCAGGAACTTCCGCCACTCGGCAGCCCCTGCACGCCGAAGTACGTGAGCAGCACGCCCGTGGACCGGACGCGGTAGGCTTTCTCCATGACTTATCGGACGATCGAATTCTGGAAGGTTTCGCCGGGCGCGCCGTCAGCGGCCGCCGGCCCTGCAGGCGCCCCGCGCTGCTCGGTGCGTTTCGGGCAACCTTTCGGTTTCTCTGCCTGGCCCCAGCGCTCCTTCGCCGCGTTCAGCTGCTTCGCGTGCTCGTCGGCCCCGCCGTTGTCTGGGCGCGCCTTGCGGAGCGCCTTCCGGGAAGCTGCAACCACCTCGCTGTCTTGCGAATCCCTGTGGGGGCGAACCGCCACAGAGTAGGCGGCTGCGACACTGAGGAGCAGCTTCACCAAAGCCCTCCGGGCTTGCACAGCGCCGGGCGCCCCCATGGCCAACGCCGAAGCGGAGCCGCGCTGAGGGCTTGAGCCAAAGCGGCTACCGGGACGATGACGACGACGGCGGTAATTGAAGAAAACGATGACCCAACTTGCCCTTGCCAGGTACTAAAGTTTTTGACCATCGGTGGACAATTGCCTCGCTGGTGCCGCGCGCCGCCGACGACGGAGGAGGAAACAGACATGCCCCGACGCGGGCCCCCCAACTTCCTTGAACTCTGTGAGATCGGATGACCAACCAGTGAAGCAGGAGCAACCGCGTTGGATAAGGATGCCGAGCGCCACGCTGCATCAAAATGACATCCGCCGAATGCGCGTGATGACACCTCCTGGGGCCCGAAGGCCCCAGGAGGGGTCATCGCGCGCCCGTAGCGGATGTCTACTGGGAAAAAGAACGCAAAATTAAACATTCAAACCGATTCGGAAACGCGCGGGTGCGCTGTCTTTGGGGCGACGACGCAAATCCTGAGAGAAACTTGACTGTGTCTGCGCGGAACGATTCCAGTGCGAGCGGGCCCAGTCCAACTCGGAATGATTTCCCTGCCTATTTGTAGTGGGGCGGAGCGATTATCACACCGTTACATTCCTATTTATATATTTTTACAAGGCCGGGGACCCCGGAAAAGCGGCGCACGGTGCCCCCCCCCAAACGAATTCGGCCTTCCCGAGCCTTTGGGGCGCTTCTGCAGAGTGCTCCGTGTCTGTCCTGCGAGTGCGACGCGGAAAAAAAAACACGACGGCCAAAGAGGGCCCCGAGACACCCGAAGATCGGCCCAAGACGCCCAATCTGGGCCCAAGACTGCCCAAGACGCGTCCAAGACGCCCCCAGAGACCCCCAAGGCGCCCCCCAAGAGAGCCCCGAGAGGCTACAATTGTTGATTTCCCGGTGTGTTTTCGATGTTTTTGGCCTTTTCGCTTTTCCCGCTTCCCGACGCTCCACAATGGCCCAAGAGCCTCCCTAGATCGCCCCAGTACTGCCCAAAAGGCCCCCAAGAAGGCCCCAACACGGTCCAGGAGGGCTCCGAGACCGCCCAAGAGGCGCCCAAAACGGCCCAAGAGAGCACCAAGACGGCCCCAAGCGAGACCCAAGAGGGCGCCCAAAAATTCAAAAACTAAATTTTCTGCCTGCCGCGAGAGGGCCCCAAAAGGCCCGGAGAAAGCCCCATGAGGCCCCAAGAGGCCCCCAAGAGGCACGGAGGAGCCCCCAAGATGCCCCCAAGAGGCTCCGAAAAAATCCCAAGAACCCCAAAACACCCCCGAGAAGCTTCAAAACTGCCTCCCAGAGGGCCCCCAGAGGCGCGCCACGAGATCCCGACACAGCGGTCTCCCCCTCTCATCATCCCTTCTCTTTGTCGTCACCTTCTTCGTCGTCGTCGCTGTCGTATCAAATGGCGCAGCGAAGCCATTTTTTCGTTCAAACCACCGACGGGCCCAAAAGCTCCTCCCCCTCCTCTTCCTTATTGTCTTCCTCCTCTACCTCCCCCATCCTCCTTCTCCAAAAATTTCCCGTGATGTTTCGCGTTCCGCCCCGCCAGAAGTCTAGCGGAAGCAGCTCTCCTCACTCTCCCAAGTCTCTGCTGCGGATTTTTTCCGCGACACCTCGGCTGCGCCCCAGATGTCCACATAATTTGCCCTCTTCATCCTCTTCCTCCTCTGCATCCTCCTCCTCTTTTTCCTCTTCCTTCTCCCCATCCTCTTCATGTTCCTCCTCCCGCCTCGACTGAGCTTCTCGCAACACTCGATGCAAACCGTCGGGGTCACGACGCCATCTCATCCGGACGCGCTGTTGGGAACCAGGGTTTTTGTGACATTTCGGAGATCAGGCCGTCGGGAACCTTCGGTTTCAGCACGCATCCTCGGGAAACGCTCTCTGGGGACTCACGGCCGCGCGAACACTTGCGACGTTCTCCTCCTCTTCCTCCTCCTCCCCCTCCTTCTCCTCATCCTCTTCAATTTCCTCTTCCCGCTTGCCAAGTTTGTAGGACAACCAGTATTCCTCGCTCTCCCACCACTGTTCTGATGATTCCTTCCACATCCACTTCGGCTGCATCCTCATTTAGGAGGAGGAACAAGAAGAGGAGGAGGAGGGGGAGGGGGAGGAGGAAAAGGAAAGGGGAAGGAGGAAGAGGAGATAACGGAAAGTAGTCTAATCCGCTTCGCCAGAGATATGCTCGCAACTCCGGCCTCAGAAGCGCCTCGTTTCGCATCGGTCCCGCCGTTTTCGCTTGAGACATCATCGCAGCTCCGGGGCCCGAGACACTCTCAGTTGAGGTGTTCCAGCCACTGTCGCCTGAGACGCTCTCGCAAGTCTCACTTCGGAGGTGCCTTGCACCATGGTGGTTTGGCCACTATTGCGCGCGACTTCTCGCAACTCTAAGTTCAAGGATGCCCTGAGCAGAGGTGTTCAGACCACTCCTCGCTTGAAACTTCCTCGCGCGGCTGACTTCGGACATGCCCTCCCCTGAGCGGAGGTTTTCAAGCCATTTTCACCCGGGACGTCCTCGCAGCACTGACCTCGGCGACGCACTGTCCCATGGTAGTCTGACCGCGTTTGCCTGAGACCCTCGCGCCTTTTAGTGGCGCGATGATATGAACAACTGGTCGGGCCGCTACCGCCTGATATACGCACGTGCATGCGCACGCATAGTTACATTGACCATTTGCATATACATGTATATATCCATACAAATTTATATGTATATATATATATATACAAGACTGCATTGGCGCTGCGCGCCATGCACCTTGGTCCTCTGGAATTCGCGCGCTAGCGGAGTGCGCGCGTGCGTACATGCGCACGCACATGCGTCTATGAATGCATAGTACATGTGTATATATCTATACATACACGTTTGTATGGATATATACATATATATGCAACTGGTCAGTGTAACTATGTGCGCGCATGCACATGCGTATATCAGGTGGTAGTGGCCTGACCAGTTGCTCATATCATCGCGCCACTAACAGGCGCGAGGGCCCCACGCAAACGTGGCAAGACTACCATGGGACAGTGCGTCGCCGAGGTCAGTGTTGCGAGGACGCCCCAGGTGAAAATGGCCTGAACACCTCCGCTCAGGGGGGGCATATCCGAAGTCAGCCGCGCGAGGAAGTTTCAAGCGAGGAGTGGTCTGGACACCTCTGCCCAGGGCATCCTTGAACTTAGAGTCGCGAGAAGTCGCACGCAAAAGTGGCCAAACCACCGCGGCGCAAGGCACCTCTGAAGTGAGACTTGCGAGAGTGTCTCAGGCGACAGTGGCTGGAACGCCTCAACTGACAGCGTCTCGGGCCCCAGAGCTGCGACGATGTCTCAAGCGAAAACGGCGGGACCGATGCGAAGCGAGGCGCTTCTGAGGCCGGAGTTGCGAGCATATCTCTGGCGAAGCGGATTAGACTATATTCCATTATCTCCTCTTCCTCCTCCCCCATTTCCCTTTCCTCCTCCTCCCCCTCCCCCCCCCCTCTCCCCCCCCCCCTCCTAAATGAGGACGCAGCCGAAGTGGCTGTGGAAGAAATCGCCGGAACAGCGGTGGGAGAGTGAGGAGCGCTGGTTTTCCTACAAACTTGGCAAGCGGGATGAGGAAATCGAAGAGGATGAGGAGAAGGAGGGGGAGGGGGGGGGGAAGAGGAGGAGGACGTCGCAAGTGTTCGTTCGGCCGTGAGTCCCCAGAGAGTGTTTCCCGAGGATGTGCGCTGAAACCGAAGGTTCCCGAACGCCTGATCTCCGAAATGTCACGAAAACCCTGGTTCCCAACAGCGCGTCCGGATGAGATGGCGTCGCGACCCCGACGGTTTGCACTGAGCGTTGCGAGAAGCTCAGTCGAGGCGGGAGGAGGAACATGAAGAGGATGAGGAGAAGGAGGAGGAGGAAGAGGAGGAGGATGAAGAGGAGGAAGAGGATGAAGAGGACATATTATGTGGATATCTGGGGCACAGCCGAGGTGTCGCGGAAGAAATCCGCAGCAGAGACTTGGGAGAGTGAGGAGAGCTGCTTCGGCTAGACCTTTGGCGGGGCGGAACGTGAAACATCACTGGGAATTTGGAGAAGGAGGAGGAGGAGGTAGAGGAGGAAGACAATGAGGAAGAGGAGGAGGAGCTTTGGGTCCGTCAGTGGTTTGAGCGAAAAAATGGCCTCGCTGCGCCATTTGATACGACAGCGACGACGACGAAGAAGGCGACGACAAAGAGAAGGGATAATGAGAGGGGGAGACCGCTTTGTTGGGATCTCGTGGTGCGCCTCTCGGGGCCCTCTGGGAGGCAGTTTTGAAGCCTCTTGGGGGTGTTTTGGGATTCTTGGGATCTTTTTGGGGCCTCTGGGGGCCTCTTGGGGGCTCCTTGGGGCCTCTTGGGAGCCTCTTGGGGCCTCATAGGGCTCTCTCCGGGCCTCTCGGGGCCCTTTCGCGGCGGAAAGTTTAGTTTTGAATTTTTGGGCGCCCTCTTGGGTCTCTCTTGGGGCCGTCATGGTGCTCTCTTGGGCCGTCTTGGGCGCCTCTTGGGCGGTCTCGGAGCCCTCCTGGACCGTGCTGGGGCCTTCTTGGGGGCCTTTTGGGCAGCACTGGGGCGATCTAGGGAGGCTCTTGGGCCATTGTGGAGCGTCGGGAAGCGGGAAAAGCGAGAAGGCCAAACACATCGAAAAACACACAGGAAAATCAACAATT